GTTGAGTCTCTTTAACTATGATGGTTCACTTTACACCAAGGGAAGTTCATGAATTCCTTTCTAAGCAGCTGTAAATGATTTAGACTTTGTGGTGGGATTAGTTGGATCTTTTGAAAAGATGTTCTAGTTTTTAAAATTTATTATGGATTGCAATTTGAAGGTCAAAGTTTTGTCTTGGCTAAGTTTTAGCTAGGTGTCTAGTTTGTTAAGTTTTTATTTTTGTTTGAGTCTTGTTTCTCTTGAGGACAAGCAAAAAGCTAAGTTTGGGGGTATTTTGATGAGCTGATTTTATAGTATATATTTAACCCTATTCTTGGTATATTTTGGTTAATATTTTAAAAGAATTTTGGAGTAATTCTAGTTGGAGGATGTTCGTGAGTCATTTGGCTTGATCGTATCAAAATATCAGAATTTTCTACCAAGCGATTATTTTCTGGCGATAAAATAAATGAGCAATGCGCAGTGCTGGAATAGTGACGTTTTGGGCTTGAATTGCATTTGTGAAGTCCAAGATGACCTCGGATGGATTTGTGGCCTTCTGGAGATGTGTTCAGACAGATTTGGAGGATTTGGAGGATTTCTGAGGCTAAAACGTGGCTGGACAGTTCCCTTGCAGTTTTTCCTAGTTTAATTATGACTTTATTTTCTAAGTATTTTATTTTATTATTTACTTCCCTAGTTGGAATAAGAGACCTATGTTTTAGGGTTTGTAGGGGGCTCAGCAATTATATTGCTTGGACGTTCTTAAATAGAGGGGGTAATTTTTTATGAGCTTGGAGAGACAAAGAGTGATTGCTAGGGTTCGTGGATATTTTCTACTTTAAGGTGTTTTCGTTCCTTTGACTCATTTTGAATGATATTTCCTTTGATTTTTATTATGAGTATGTGTAACTAATTCTTTTGCTAGGGTTAGGCCATGAACCATAGCATGAATATGTAATTTTATTAATTTTCTTATGAATGGATGCATGTTTGTTTTGAATTATTAATCACCACGATTAAATCTATCTATATATTTTAATGATTGATCACCATTAAGGTATTTAAACAAGTTATTTGATGCAATTTTTGTTAGAACATCACCCTGAAATTGAGGAGAGCTTCTTGTGATTAGTAATTGTAAGTTCACTCAAGGCGAACATCACACTCTTGAGGGTTGCATGGTTTTTCAAAGGGTTTTCACGAAGTTTAATGAGTCTTGCATGTTTATATTTAATCTGAACATCACAGACGGATTGCATGTTAGATATACGTTTTCGCTTGAACATCACAAGGAAAATATGCGTTAGGAAAACCTAACCTTCAAAGCATGGATGTGGAAATTTATAAGTAATTGATAGAATTGCATAGGATTGTAACGGTGACGGCTTAACCCTTGTCTTTCCCTAAATTGTTTTAATTAAAAAACGTTTTTCGGTTTGCTACCTTTATTTTCTAACTTCTAGGTTCTTTAATTGTTAATTCAACATTTTCAAACTCAAAAATCTCAAATCTTTGATAAAAATCTGTTTCAATAGTTAATTAAGAGTTGATTTAATTATGAATTAATCAAACAATCTTTGTGGACAATGACCTTGCATGAGCAATTATACTATAATTACCTTATATTCTTGCAAGTATTTTCAATGATTTTAATCCTATTTGCATGTGGTAAAAATCATAATCACAAACCACTGTCGATTTCCAGCCTAATATTTGAATTGGCCCAAATGATTCAAATCGTCCATATAGAAGCCTACTTATCATTGTGGCTCCTTCACCAAGGTCCGATAAGTCTTGTTTTTTCATTCACCCTTGCAAGAATTTGTCCTTGCAGGTTCAACAGTATTTCCAACATTGGCAAGAAAGATGGGGGAATCAAATTCCTGCGAGTTTCCTTTTTTATTTTTTTTTATTTGTTTTATCAAAATACTTCCAGTACTGTTCACTTTTAACAAAAAATCAAAACTATTCTCTATACCTCTGTCTCACACACCTATGTCTCACACACCGCAATCAAGTATACTAAACACACCCTGATGATTGGGCACTCACATAACCGCCTCTACATCTTCCTCGTATACTAAACACACCCCACACTTCTTCGCATCCTCTATTCGTACGAACCGCTCAAATGAAAATCCAAGCTCACTGACATTCTGCCACTCATTGCCAGTAAAGAATTCATGCCGTGGAAGGAAGAAGAAAAAAAGGTGGCCTCTCCAAAAAAGATCGTGTCCCTCCTGGGCCATTAAACATGCTTTTCCATTGATGCTCAGTTTTATATCACTTATATCCATTTGCTTAAATCCGAATACCCCACACACCGCAAATCCCTTTAACTTATGATCAGTAGACCACCCTGGATGTAGCTCTACACTGATTGAAAATCCCACACTTCTGTGATTGAAGCACTCTGGAATTTGACTTCCAGGAACTACAAACTTGCATCCTAAACCAGGAAGTCTCGTACTCGTGCAAACTTGCTTCTCCACCCGCTTGAAACAGTTAGCAAAAAGTTTAATCACGTCTACACAGGCTGATTCCAATGCCTCGCAATTGTAAGCTTCAACACAGGATATTGTAGAAGGAAGCTCTCCGATTAATGTTTGAAGACTCTTGCAACTAGACACACCAAGGTATTCAAGTTTGGAAAGTTGACAAATACTCATGGGTAAGCTAGATAAATAATTTTCCCTTAGATCCAATACCTTAACGAGGAGGGGCAGCCGATATCATTTGGAATTCCTCCTTCCAAAATATTGCATTTACTTAGACTCAAGTGCGTTAAAGATTACAAACCAGATAAAGAAGGCAGTTCAATTATAGCATTTCGGCAAGCCAATCCAAAAACTTTACATGGCCCAAGTCTTCTGGCAATTTTTCAAGCCTCCAGCAACCATAAACATCAAGAATTTCCAGAGACTTTAAGCCAGAAAAACTTCTTGGAAGACGTGCAAGGTTTTTGCAACGAAGCAACCTCATAAACGTAAGTCTTTCAAGTGTCACCACAGATTGGTCAACTTCATACAATTGGTCGCAATTTGAAAGAAGCAGTTGCTCAAGATTTGGCATACCTCTGAAGTCTGGGGTTTCCACAAGATTTGGGGAGTCAGAAAGATCAAGGATTTTCAAATTGTATGAATGCTGCTATCAAGTGAAAACATAGCAAAAATTAGCTTCACATGATATTAATGTGGCTGATAAAAATCAATAAGTCAGAAAGTACCTTTATCCCCTTCCAAAGATGTTCAAGGCGACTAAAGGTCATGCGAAGTTCCACAAGATGCTCAGGACAGAAAGCTGACGGCAAAGTTTTTAGAGGAAAGTTGTGCCATTCAAGAAACCGCAAACTATTGGGAAGATATTCAAGCCCGTTAGAGAGCTTCGCCTCATATAGCCGGAGGAATCTCAGTTTTTTCATCATTGAAAAGGATTTAGCATGCACTTGGACTGTTCGTCGCTCATCCCGGCGCATGATTATACATTCAATTTTTTCTGTTCCCTAGTCAACAAGAATAAATTCTAGGTCATAACGTAAGCAAAGCGGTAACTAGTACAACACCATGTTGTATACAAGACTTAATAGCAACGAGCAATCAAATTTATTATTATAATAAAAGTCTCTTACTGTATTTTCACTCAGGACACGATTGATGTCAGCACTACGCCACAACCTGCTACGCTTGCCTGGATCATCAGGAGATTCTCGGCGAACAATTTCTTGACCCATTTCTTGGAGTACATCATGCATCAATAGCCTACCGTTTGAATTAACAGTTAACAGAGATTTCTCAACAAGGACATCTATTCCAATAGGTGCATAAAAACCACTAGCTTCAAGAAGCTCTGTTACTTGACCTTTCGCCCATCCACTAAAGAAACATGCAATGTCTAGAAAAATTTTCTTCTCATTGTCATCTAGACCATCGTAGCTTATTTTAAGTGTCTCAAAAACTTCTGAATTACAAATTTCTCTTAGTTTATCCAACGCACTGTTCCATGCACTTAAACCTCTTCCGTACAAAAAAGATCCCAAGACTTTAAGAGCTAGTGGAAGACCGTTGGCATAAATTACCACACGATTTGACAAATGAACAAAACTTGGTTGAGGGCAATCTTTCTTAAAGGCCTTCCGGCTAAAAAGTTGAAGAGAGTCATCGTTATTGAGTCCTTTAACCTCAAACCGTCTCTCCACTCCGTGATTAAGTAACAAATGCTCATCTCTAGTTGTAATGACAACTCTGCTCCCCGATTTAAACCACTCTTGATTTCCAGCCAAATATTCTAATTGACGCAAATGGTTCACATCATCAAGAATTAAAAGAACCTTTTTGTCACTTAGAAACCTGCATATCATTGCTGCTCCTTCATGAACCTCCCATATGTCATCCTTTTTTTCCATCCCGATTTTACAAAGAAGTTGCTTTTGCAGGTAAGGTATGCCACCTTTTTCGACATTACTTCTAACATCAGCTAGAAATATTTGGTATTCAAACACATGAGAGATTCTCTCGTACACAACTCTTGCAATAGTTGTCTTACCAATACCGCCCATCCCCCATATCCCAATAAAGCAACCATCATTCACCGTTGCATCTAAACACAAATCAATAATCGGTTTCGACCTTGACTCGATTGCAACAAAGTCGCCCACCACAGGACATAAAAATGTTGGGCGCAACTTTTTCCATACCACTTGAACAATATCGTTGACAAGCTTGGCTTCAGACCTATGGAAAAGAATAGAGTTAGATATACAATTTCCAAAATGTTTTTACTATTTTTTGCATTGAGTCAAGTCAAAACACAATAATCACACACCTATATATGATGTGCATTGTATAAGAGTTATCGAACTATAGATGGAATTCGTTTAATGGCATTTATAGCTATGTCCATTGTAATTTGTCATATAATTGGCTCTATTTCTATTCCTCAAACAGAAGTCACACAAGGGGTGTAGGCGTGTGTGTCATTATATAAGGAGGACACAGTTGCGAGAAAAATCAAAACGTTACCAGTCCTTTGAATCCCACCCAGAGAAACTTGCCACTTTCGTTAAAGCATATCTCCAACTTTCCACCTCCCTTTTGTCAACCCCAGGGTTGTTTCCATATTTAATGAAGGCTTCTTCAAAACACCCTGTTTGCTTTCGTACGTCAGAGGGATCAACATTATAAAAAATTGGTAGCACTGCTGCTCTTTCTTCCATGCACTTAAGAATATGTAAAAGTTCAATCAAGCACCACGTTGATGATGCATAATTTTCTGAGAGAACGATGAGTGCAAATCTTGATTGTTCAATTGCAGTAAGAAGTCCTGGAGAAATAGGTTCCCCTTTATGAAGTTTAGGGTCATCCCTAAAAGTTTTTATTCCTTGACGTTCCAATGCGGTGTGTAAGTGGTCTGTGAATCCCTTTCTAGTGTCTTCACCTCTAAAACTCAAAAATACATCATATTTCCATTCAGAAGCTGAAGCAGGGAAAGGTGTACTGGTTTCTCCCGTACTCATCACCACGGTACTCCCAAGAGGATTCATCATCATTTTAAGACTTGCCTCTTGGATGTATAGTAGACGAGAAGTTTTCTTCTGTTATGTGGTTTCTCTACTGCATAGAAAACACAAAATATAAATGAAGCTTTACAAATACACTACAAAGTCGCAAACATCCGTTGTTTTCTATCTTTTTATTGCTGTTTGTGTCTTGGCTTTATCTTGTTCGGAATACATGAGAAAGACCCCACACACACACATTAATGTATAAATGGTAGTATTTTGGACATTGCCAATTCTAAACTACAAAGGATATATACATGCTTTAAAAACATACCTGATCATGTTAGACATTAGTGTCTCTTTAACAGAACGACATCAACAACGAAATTTATTAATTAGAAATGAAAGAGCAAAAAATAGCTAGGATTTGGAAAAGTAAAGTAAACTGTTGTGTGAGAGCGAAGTTTGGGAGTTAATTGTATTGACCGGTGAGGTACCACTACTGAGCTAACTATGTTTTGTTGCTTAAAACAAATGGGTCAGTCAGATTCATTGGGACTTAATGAGAGACATAAAGACAGGAGGAACTTACTTGGTTTCCTATTGCAAGTCATCAAATTTATAGTGCACTAGACAGGGTTTGAATAAGTAGGAGCCCATTTGTTAAACTTTCCGTTTTTAGTTTTCATTTTTTGTTAGATACACAAGGGAAATACATCGAAGAAATGTGGATCAAAGAGTGGTGGAGGAATTGTTGTGACAACATGAACCTAAAAACTGAAATCAATTGTAAGTGGATGGGAAAAAGTGAAGTTTAGGCTTAGTAAACACTAGTCAATGGTGCCCAAGCATTGCTGGCGGATTAAAAATTGTATGAAAACTTATGTTTCAAACATGTAAATGATTGCTGTGACAGCATGAACCTAAAAACTGAAATCAATTGTAAGTAGATGGAAAAGAGTGAGGTTCAGGCTTAGTAAACAAATAAAACAGTGAATAAAAATACAACAGTGAATTAAAAATCCAATTTTCCTTGTTTACTTTCCTTTGTCTTCTCGCGTATTTTGTCTTCTCGCGTATTAAGCAAACAAATAAAACATTGAATTAAAATACAATGATTAACTTACAATTAAAGCATTTGAAGTGTTATGCTTTTGGAATAACAAAACAAAACAACCCACACAAAATCTTACATTTTTCACAGATGAGCCTCGACTATCAACGATGTCGTCTTGAAACCACTCCACCCTCCAGCCACAAACTTATAGGAATCCTAAATTCCTAATCCTGCATTAACCAAAATTCAAACAATTATTCAGATTCCTAATTAAAACTGCATGAACCAAAATCTTAGTAACATGAAGAAGAAAAATACTACTCACACAACAAAAATTGATAATATAAAAACCGAAATTCGTTTGAATGAACTCAAAAAACCAAAATCTTATAGGAGCTTCCTTTTGAGAATCTCAAACTCTAGCCATTTCAAAATAAGTTGTTCGTATTTCCTCGAATACATGCTAAATCTCTCTCTTAGTGCTCAAAATCCAAATGAGAACTTAAAATATACAAAACTACATTTAAGCTGAGGCTATAATGCACTAAATACCACAATACAGCAAAACAAAGATGAATTCAACACCTTGAATGTGTAAATATTCATATCTCAAACCAATTTGAAACCTAATTTTCATCCTGAAAAACTTTGATCTATAAAACCCATTGACAATTTTCAACAAAAAACAATCAATTTAGGAAAGCAAATACAATGCAGCAAAAGAGCTGTCGATTTAGCTCCATTTACTATGGCCAAAAGCTTGAAAAACAGCTTAGAAGCACAATTCCGAGTATTACCAAAAGCAAGCAACTTTGGGGCAAAGAGCCCACTTTCCCAAACTGAGCTTTAAGTTCATGCCACATGATTCAAATTAATTTATCACTAATCTAAGTTCTAAAATGGTAAAAGTGAGGAAATATACCTATCACCCTGCTCGTTGTGATCTGTGAAATCCAAGTTCCACTACAAGACCCTCTGCATAGCTGCGTAACTTCCGGTGATGAACACCCTGAGAAGGTTTAGAGTAGCAGCAGATAGGTAATAGGGCCTGATCAGTCTCTGATGATCTGGAGTACCATAATAATTTCCACCAAAAAATATACAAATATTTAAAGAAAATATAACTACTCTCTCAATTTTGCTGAGAAATATCTGCCACGCGATTAAATATTTCTTAAAACATCTGTCTTCACTATCTATGTTGTATAAAAATTGGCAATAAAACCGTAAAAGACCTAAATAATTGATATATGTTTTCAGTAACCAAAAAGTTGCAATTTATTAAATTTCAGAATCCTTGACAAACTTCAATCATGACCAGTGAAGACACGATCAACCCAGATGGGTCAACAGAAAATCCATGGGGGCTTTGCAGTACGCATGAAGCGGAGGAAATTAAGTGCTTGGTGAGAGAAAAAAAAAACCAACCCCAACCCCAGATTAAGCAGATAAATGATAAATCACTCGATAAAGCTTGATTACTAGGAAGAAGGAATCTCTGAAAGAGAAACTCACCACTGCTATCACTGAGCCTCAGCACAGAGGCCTTCAAACGCTGAAAAGAAAACGAAATTAAATAACAAAAACGAAATTTGAACACAAAACCTAGCTAGCAACCTGCTAACGTTGCTCAACCTGGGTTCTGGGCGATTTGAACAGGAGGAACTTTAAATTGCTTGCCCTTCACACTTGAGATATGGAAAATTAGCAGATGGTTTATAGTAGTGATTTTGATCATGATATGTAGAATTAACAACCACAGAATTTAATTGTGCCAATTAAGATGCAACAGACAGAGGATCTTCTACAAAGATGCATTTTAAATACCTGCGGGGGAAGCTTCCTCTCAAGCTGCACATATCTTCCTGCGGAAACTTGAAATATTAATTCATTAAAAAGCATTGATAATTAGGCGCACTGGGGTTGCTGGGTTGAATTATAAAAAAATACAGACAGACTTGCAATATTAATCAATATCTTTTGGAAGGAAGACCGATGACGGAAGCGTGGACTTAAAAGGGTAAACCGGTCATTTTACTGCGGGAAAGCTTCCTCGCAAGCTGCCGGCGTAACTTTCTTTTTTTTTTTTTTTTTTTTTTCAGAAAAGTACGAAATTGTTGTAAGCTTATTTGATCGAACTAATCTAGAAGATTAGAGAAACAAAGGGTCGGTGTTAATTAGAGAGAGGAGAGAGTGATTTAAATATGAGGTATGTTTGTCCTCATTGTACCTTTATTTATAGTGGTAAGATAGGTAAAAACGTTTTTCTTTATGATTACAATTCTTAATAGGTAATCAACTCCTAATAGGAATATAAGATATATTCTCATATCTTCTAGGATTTACACAATCATATTCATATTCTAAATATGACTGCAACATTCTCCCTTGAGTGTGTAAATACTCAACAAACTATCACATCAGATCTTCAGTAGAGAATGTAGAATAGTTGATGAAGTCATCGGCACAATGGGTGAACGCAAATCTCAAATTTATGAAAGTATGCATTTGTAGTAAAATTCACAAAACCTTGCTATGGTAAAACCTAAGGTATTGGAAAAACCCATAGACTAAGGAAAAAAGTGAGAAGTATGCATAATGTCTAAAACAAACGTCAAATACGATAAAAGTAGTGAACTCAACAGAGTATGATCATCCTAGGATTGGTGCCTCATTAAAACCTTGTTCCAATGGGAAAAATGCTCCTAATCGTAGGAAAAAAAAGTACATTAAGATCAAGTGAGTATGCTTCTAGATACTCCTCCTGAATTAGACATAACTTCTAAATTAGAGAACTACAACCGATTCAACTCAGATAATTTAAGCATGTTGATTCCTTGGACGAGATTCTGAAAAGTAGACTTGGGCAATGATTTGGTGAAGAGATCAACCAGATTGTCTTAGGAACAGATTTGCTTGACTTCAATGTTCTGATACTGCTGCTGTTGGTATGAGTAAAAGAACTTTGGCGCTATGTGCTTAATGTTGTCTCCCTTGATGTATCCTTTCTTTAACTGCTCAATACATGTTGCATTGTCTTCAAAGATTGTCATAGGAAAGTCAACGACAGATGTAAGACCATTAGTGCTTTGAATATGTTCCATGATTTCTCTCAGCTAAAAGCACTCACACAATGCTTCATGCAGGGCAAGAATCTCAACATGGTTCAACAAAGTCGCAACTAGTGTTTTCTTGGTAGATCTCCAAGATATAACGGTGTCTCAACAGTAAAGACATAACCCATTTGAGAACGTGCCCTATATGAGTCAGACAGATATCCAGCATTTGCGTAACCAATAAGGTGGGAATCATTTTGAGTACCATAAAGGGCAGTAACACTCGAAGATTCACAGGTATAGAACAATCCCAAATCTGTTGTACATTTAAGGTAGCAGAAAATGTCTTTAACACCATTCCAGTGTCTGTGTGTGGGCGCATTGCTGTATCCAGCCAAAAGATTAACAGTAAATAAGATGTCGGGTCCAGTGCATTGAGCCAAGTACAATAAAGCCCCAATTGCACTTAGGTACGAAACTTCAAGTTCCAAAATATCTTCCTCATCCTCTTTTGGACAAAAGGGATCTCGTTTAACATTTAGAGTCCGAACGACCATAGGTGTACTCGAAGGCTTCACTTTATCCTCATTAAAAAGTCGCAACACCTTTTGGGTGTAATTTGATTGATGTACTAGGATTCCATTTGAACAATGCTCGATCTCCAGGCCGAGGCAATATCGAGTTTTCCCAAGATCTTTCATTTTAAATCTGATTTCAAGTGCATAGCAATTTCTTCAAGCTATACGGGAATTCTGATGAGGGTCATGTCATCGACATAAACTACAACGATTGCAAATCCGAAATGTGACTTCTTTATGAACACGCATGGGCATAATTCGTTGTTCACATAACCCTGACTTGTCAAATATTCACTCAGACGGTTATACCACATCCACCTGGATTGTGTCAATCCGTAGAGTGACCTCCTCAACCTAATTGAAAGAATGTTCTGTGGTTTAGAACTATTTGAAACAGTCAATGGAAGTGCTTCTGGAACTTTCATATATATCGCCGTATCTAGATCCCTATTAAGATACGCAGTTACCATGTCCATAAGCTGCATATTCAGTGTTTTAGAAACTACCAAACTAATAAGGTAGCGGAACGTTATAACGTCCATTACGGAGGAATACGTCTCCTCATAATCAATCCCAGGGCATTGAGAAAATGCTTTTTATCGCACTATTTCATTCTTTTCATTACGTTTCCTCACGAAAACCTACTTGTAGCCAAAGGGATTCACATGTAAATGAGTAGGAGTTACGGGCCCAAACAACTTACATTTCACAAACAAATCGAGTTCAACCTGGATTGCTTGTTTCTAGTTTGACCAATCGGCTTTCATCGACGAAACGTGGTTCAATGTCATCGCTAAGCATGATATCAGTAGCTACTGAGTACGCAAATGCATTGTCAACGATCATCTCATTCTGATTCTAAACCTCATCCAATATTGCGTAGTGGATTAAAATCTCACGATTTTCAAGAGGCTGTCATGTTTCTTCTAAAGCATCACCGTAATCTAGAATAATCTCATGTGTTGGAACAGATGAATGAGCGATGGTCGAATTCAAACTAGGGTCACTAGTTGGTGCCGTTTTCCTCTTTCAGGGTTGTGAATCCTTTGAACCAAGGGGTTTGCCACGCTTTAGGATCGAAGCAAATGATTGGCTAACTGCCAATGTACCTTGCTACCTAAAAGGTGCAGCCTCCCTACCTTCGGGGACGGTCCGACCTTGCCAAGTGGGTTGTTGATGTACGTAAGGTATATATATCCTTACATGTGCGTTTGCAGTGGGTATATATGATCTTGTCACCTTTGCTAGATCATTAAAAGCATCCAGTATGCTTTGAGAAGTGCTTTGAAGATCTATAATTCGTCGCACCTCAGTTTCAGACTGGGCAGTGCAGGGATCTAAATGAGACATAGTAGAAGCATACTATGATAATTCGCGGCGTTCTACTGGAACGTTAACATGCTTATCTCCCCCTAACGGCGAGAAGACTATCTCATTAAAGTGACAATCTGCAAAACATGTGGTAAAAAGATCTTCTATCAAGGGTTCTAAATAGCGAACAATTGATGGCGAATCATAATCGATATAGATTCTCATTTTTCTCTGAGGACCCATTTTGGTACGTAGTGGCGGCGTTATTGGCACATAAATGGCGCACCCAAACACCCATAAATGTGAAAGGTGATGCGAGAATTATACGCACACAAATTAAACCCTCTTTTTGACAATTGTAGTATAGAATGTAAGTAGGGATCGTTCAGGACCGGGGATTAGGAGGGATTGTTAATCACTTAGATTTCACTCAAAAACGTAAAAACACAATATAAAACACTCTACTAGACTCAAAGAATGCAAAACTAAACTTTAAAACACTAAAACAAACCAAAAGACTCAAAACAGCACCAAAACACTCAAAACTGCCTTAAAAACACTTTCTGGGCAGTTTTGAGCACTTTGAGTACTTTGGACGAATTTGGGTAACAAATTGAATCAAAACACTTATAAACACAAACCAAAACACTTTCTAACTAATTTGAACAATACAAAGACTCAAAGGACTCAAAACAAGTTCAAAAGACTCAAAACTGCCTAAAAACACTAACTAGGCAGTTTCTGACCTTAAACCCAAATTTGGACGAAATTAATTTGTAACTTGACTCAAGACTCTTAAAAACACAAACTAAATTGATTTCTAACTAATTTGGACATTAAAGTAAGGGGGGATTGAGTTTTGGACGAAATTAAACTAATTGCACAGATTCTAATTAAAAACAGAATGTAAATATGAATGTGATGGATTTGAATGGATGGGATGACTAGCTAAGGGGTTCATCTCCACACATGTTACACTTGCATAATAAAAAGATTTCCAATTGCATTTCAATAAACCATGAATTCTCAACACCCCAAGTTAACCGTGATGCACTAATTAACCTTCAAATCTTCCTAACGTTATTGAATTGGATGATTGCATACGACAACCCAAAACATTCCCCACAAGTCCCCTACATGATTGCATAATAGAGATACAAGCAAGAATCATTACGCTCTATGAAAATTATAAGTGTTGACGAGGCATTCGTTACTATGATTGCATGAAACTTATGCCAAGAATTCGTTTAACGCGATTGTTTATAAGCAACCTCCACTACTTGTGAATATAAGTTCGTAACTATTAGGTGAAACTCACTTATATTCTAGCGTCATATTCATGCATGAAAATTAAGCGTGTACTCTCAATAAACATACATAAATAAGTTATCAATCAAACAGTTAAACAAATTGAATCCACAACTTATGAAACACAATTAGAAGTAATCAAATCAAAATGCAAGCATAAACATATATTTCGAATCCTCCCCTAACCAGGGGGGTTTAGTTCCTCATGATACAAAACAAAGAGAATCAAAGAAACGCCTAAACATTCCAACAACTCAAACTTGAATTGTATGAACGTTTAGGCCCTCTTCTCTTCCATTCCTCATTCGTACAAAACAAAGGGTATTGAAATTAAACATTGAAATCAAAGAAACACCTAAACATTCCAACAACTCAAACTTGAATTGTATGAACGTTTAGGCCCTCTTATCTTCCTCTTCGTTGTAGCACAAGGTCTAAGGATAGTTTGATGGTGTGAATGGTTTGGGGAGTGGTGAAAATGGAAGGAGGAGGCCACAGCAATGGGATGATTTCTGGTGTGGTGTTTGGATGATTAGGGAGAGAGCACGGCACAAGGGAATGGTTGGTGTTTGTGACTGAAATGTGTATGGAAGAATGAATATCAGAATGTGTGAAGTGTGTATGGTTTTTATAGGGAGATGAATGGATGGGAGAGGGAACATGACAGCTAGGTAAAGTGAAAGCATGTGCAAAACAGCTAGGATGGCTGAAATTGTAAGGGGAATGCATGTGCAATGCTGGAAATCTGATGGGAACTCACGGCATGGGTAGAAATGATGGCAGGTTGTGTATGATGATGAATGCATGTGGATTAGGTTGGAAAGGTGTGTGGAATGGCTGAATGTGGTGCAATGATAATGTCTTGTGGCTGAATGGATTAAAGAATGGGAGTGCATGTGTTGAATGATTGCACGGCATGGGTATTTTCTGGAATGTTGAATGTGCATGTGAAGTGGCTGATTAGAATCTAGGGTGCATGTGCACGGCAATGTGTTAGAATGGATGTGTGGCTGCATGTGATGAAGTGGTGATGAATGTGAATGTGGTTGAATGATTAAGTGGCTAAATTAAAGAATGGGATGCATGTGAATTAGGTTGGAAAGTGGTGGAAATGGAATGTTATGCACGGCTAGGTTGTTGTTGTGAATGATTGAATGCATGTGGCTGATAGGTATGAATGATTATGGGTGCATGTGGGTTGGAAATGATTAAAGAGTGAGGGTATGCACGGCAATGATGGTGGCATGTGCTGATGGTTTATGAAGATGCATGTGCAATGAAGTGGAATGGATGTGGCTGCAAGGTTTTGTGTTAGGTGATAAGTGGTGATGATAAGTGTATGATATGTGATTATGATAAGTGATAAGTGGTGATGATAAGTAATGATATGTGATTATGATAAGTGATAAGTGGTGATGATAAGTAATGATATGTGATTATGATAAGTGATAAGCGGTGATGATAAGTAATGATATGTGGGAGTGTGGCTGAAATGAAGGAGTGGAATGTTGGAATGTTATGCACGGCTAAGGATATAGGAAAGGTTTAAATGTCCTAAAACTAAAGGGAACAAGGTTCCAACACTTTGGTCTTCAATTAGGTCTTCAATTTTGTCCAACACTTTGGCTCCAAGCATAAGCTATCTATCCTTACCCCAAAAGTGCTCCAAAAGTCTCCAAAATGCATCTTTTTGCTCCTTTAGCCCTTTGGACCTACAAACATACGAAAATAGCTTAAAGTACTAAAATAACTAAAGAATTATAACGTAAATGCACGAGAACAAGCCATTTAAGTCGCATGAATATGCTCCTATCAAATACTTCCACACTTAGCTTTTGCTAGTCCTCGAGCAAAACAAAACAAAAGAAACCAAAAACAAAACGACACTGAACAAGAAAAACACAACCTAAACCTTCCAACAATCGTCTCAGGGATTTCCAATGCACATGACAAGTTAAAAATCATTATTCCCACAGATTTTAGCCATCTTTACACTTAAGTACATTCTTAATCATAGTCACCACATACTAGTTCACAATTAAGCATTTAAAACCATGATTTGAATGTAGTAACATGCCTTAGAGAATTTCCTCAATTCCTTACTAGAATGCACTCTATTTTCACACAGATTTTCTGACTACACACCCTACACTAGTTATATGTGAGAGATTGATGTAAACATGAAAGACTAGTATCTCACATATGTTATAACAAAGAACGCAATTTCTGGAGTTAATAAGCATGTTTAGATATGATCTCATGAATGGAATGCTACTACTTAGACGCGAGAACCAGTGACATCATATGGTCATACCAAGTTCAAACTCCACAAATTGAAACACATAACACTCAAGATTGAA